TTATATCTCTCTATTGTAATAAACACACATACATGTATGTCATAAATTATAAATGGTCTGGGGAGTGTTCACTTGGGAAACTGGGAAATTCATGGTTCTCGTTATGTGCAAACATGCATATTTTCCACATCTCTATATTTAGTTGGTAGATACTGTGATGAATGAAACCTCCAACTCTCAAGCTGGGTCTTCTATCCACATTCCACTACAAGTACCTGTACTTTGAGCTACTATGTGCTTCTTGTACCTACCCATTCCACTGAGATCCAAAAAACTGATGCTCTCAAGATCAAATTCACCAGTTCTGCTCTTCAGCAAGTGAGGAGTCAAGACTGAGCCTGGAACAGTGGAGGGAAAAACAAAAAGGACCATTCAAGCATGCGTTTGTTGCATTATTCCCCAATTCTGTCGAGAAAACTATGCATGCCAGCAAACGTTCTTGCCTCTCCTATCCTACATGCACTGTACCTGTAATTTTAACAAACAGCTTATCTTTCTAACAGGCCTAATCATTAACAATTAGAGACCAAACATAATTATAAAGTAGAGAAACCAGAGAAACCTTGAGCTAAATTCGACCGTCCATCGGGGGCACATGTTCAGAGGGAAAATACCATGAAAATACTATAACTGTATCAAACACTCTAATAAAAATACGTCATTCATAGCTTCGAGGGACAGTAAAGTTGCAGGCTTACCTCCAGCTCTTGCCATGAGTTTTTAACWCCGTGAAATAAGTTTCACGGCGACAAATAGTTCGTCAAAAACTTCCTGATCTTTARCGCCATGTTGCTATGCTSGTAAACACGAGTCGTCCCATTCCTCTACTCGAAAAAAAATGACTCCTTTCTTCCCGTCAGGCCACGCCCGCTTGTTACTCTAACAGCCAGTTCACACGCACACACCGTAAACTTCAAGCCCGCAATTCTGATTGAAAACCGATCAAATTGCTTTTACTCTCGTCTGCTAGCTTTTGAAAAAAAGAAAGAAAATAGATTTTGAAGAAAAAGACAGTTTCACATTGAAGTTAATGGTCGTTAATTCTCATAGAAAAGTTAAAGCTGTTAAAAGAAAAGCCAGGGACGGTGCCCGGTCCAGCACAAAATTTGGGCCAACAGAAGAGCAATCTGAGTACATGATTGATCATCGCAATAATACACACAACTTAAACGGTGTGAAATTCAAGCCTGAAGAAAATTCAGGCCTGAACGGGATTCGAACCCATGACCTCTGAGATACCGGTGTAGAGCTCTACCAACTAAGCTATCAAGCCAACTGGGTGCTGGTCACATTTTGAGTTCGTAATATACCAGTAGATGGTGAAGAATACAAGTGAATATATGAAATTTCATATATTTGAACTGCGGAGAAAGATATGAAGACGTGATTGATCATCGCAGTTATAAACACAGCAGTTGTGACTGGTTGACTTTAATTATTGGCCCCCTGAGCTTACTTAGCCGTGTCGTAAAACACATTGATGTGTCGATCCTAATAAGAGTTTTCAGAACTAAGTTTCTGTAATGAAGCCAAAACACTTGCGCGTTTCCTACGATGTCGGAAAAGCTCTTGCAATAGGTGCTCTGCATAGCAGTAGCCTGCATTGTAAGTTACATCAGGTTGACAATGTTAACGGTTAATATACTGGTGGAAGGCCTTCAATGTCGGAGTTTTACTGTAAATCAACATAATCATCCACGGAGACCCAGGGGCTGCTAGATGCGATGTTTTCGGGCGAGCGAGCTCAGCCG